AGCCATAGAAACAACTGGATTGCTTCTTTGTGTTGGAAAATAAAGAGCCTTTTCTTGAACAAAATAAATTTTGGTAAAAAGGTGAATGAGATTGAAAGAATAATCTGCCATGGTTTTTTTTCTTGCAGAAGAAAATCAAGTAATTCTGTCGCTACTGCAGACCAAACAGAAGTCATCTTACTCCCAAATGAATGTTGATTCATATTGATTGCAACACCCTTTACTGGGAAAGATAGTAAAGAAAAACATTCATATTGATAGTCAAATTTCTATAAAATTGTACAATCTTTCAAGCCACCATAGGGCTCCTCAGCGGCAGATGGAAGTTAAAGCAGTGAAATGGAAATGATGTGGTTCATTTTGATAAGATACAAGAATGAGTGACAAAGTTCTCTTCTGCACAAGGAACAATTTTCTGATGCTGAACAGAATTTCTTATGACAGCATATCCAGGCTATGCAAAGCTGATTTATAAGTAGGGCATCCCTGTTGTTTAGACTTCTTTCAAAAAATACTTATTCCAGTATATTCAGATTCTTTTCTGCTGAGTTGAATTTAGAACATCAAACCCAGTTTCTTGCTCAGTGCAATATTCTAAGTTGCAGCCTCTCCCGTGCTATTCTCTAGCCACTGTTTCAACATTCCATGACGTCCACAACCTTTATAGCTAATTGGTCTTGCTGTTGGAAGTGTTTTCCCCCTGACATTTGATTGCATTTTTTAAAAAATCAACTTCTTTTCCTTTCTACTGATAAGAAATCAGTAGCATTAAAATGACAACCATGACAGAAAAACACTGGGACTTTGATTTGTGGGAGTCAATAAGAATCAATAATACATTTAGAAAACAAACAGAAAAAACTAACAGAAAAAAATTCTCTTGCCTATCCTCTTCCCAAATTTCCCCAGATTTTTTTCTTTTGTACTTTCTCATCTGTAAATGAAAGCAACAATAAGTGAGGACATTTGAGTCAGAAACAAAGGTATTTAAATTAACAGTAATGTTTATTTTTCAATGCCAGATAATTGTTTCATTTTAGAATGGGGCAAAAAACATTAATCTTCCCTTTCTCAGTTGCAGAACTAATCAAAAAATAGTGATATGTTCCTGGCAAAAAGTAATTAATTGAGCTTTGAACTCATTGAAAGACGAAACGATTCTTTCTCTTACCGCCATCTGATTCCCATTGTTATGGAAACAATGCAAAGGAGTCACTTTCCTTTTGGTCCATTTGAAATTTATTTAATAAACAACAAAAAGGTTTGTTTTAAGACTGTAGAGCAAGATAACTATTTTAATCTTTCTGGACTTTGTGATAGTGTCTGGTCCCAATGCCGACTAACAATAAATGTATATCGCAGTCAGGTTTCCTGCCTGTATCCAACTACTGAAAAATAGTTTAATACTTCAATGAGGTTTTTAAGCACTTAAAATATTTAAGTAGATTTCTAAAGATTGTCCATAACTACTGTAAAAACAGGCCCTACCGTTTTTTTTACATTAGAGTTTATTGTTTTCCATTTAACCATTTTGCAAAGGAAGAAAATATTTTACCACGGGAACAATAAAAAAGCAATTACTTTTGTCATTATTTTGAATTAAAACTTTCCACTTAATGTTCAAATTACTTGGCATATCCTTACTCATTTATTACTTTTTGAAAGTTAGGGATTGTTGCTTGAAATCCTTTTCAAATACAATATTGATGTGGCTTATCTTTAAATGATGTATATAAGTTCAGTCTAAAATTAATTGGTTGAGATTCATTTTAAAATGCTCTAAGTCATTTCAAGATTTTCAATTTTTAAAGCTGTATTAATAGTAATGAAATTAGGTGGTCTGATTTGTTTTCTAATCAACATAAACAGATTTCAAGATAGAGAATTCCAAGTGTAAGAAGCTTCACAAATAGGCTTCACAACATCTCCCATTCCACAGCAAATTGAGTTGGGCAGTCTCTATTTAGCTTGTCATGCAAATGTCTGCCTATCTTTACCAAAACACGTTCACACCAAATTATATGAAATGCTGATTGATGCTAAAGACTGATTGTGAATTCAGACAATTAGCTTACACATATGAAAATGTTGCAAAAGGAACTATTGAAGGAGGTTTGGCACATAAATATCATCTAGTACTCCCAAGAATGCTCATTGCCAACTAAACCTTCTGATGAATCAAATATTCCAGTTTGTGCTTCCAGCACTAAAAGTTCAAAATGCATTAAAAAAAGTTCCTACCAATTTGAAATGGTGTTGATGGAGAAGTGTGCAGTGTAACATTCTAGAACTGGAAGGGCGTGGTATAAAAATAGATGCATTTCCAACATGGCAGCAAGCAAAAAATTATAGAACTAATCTATATTACTATGGGAAATGGTTCAGTAAACTTGACATCCAACTTCTTTAATGTATGGTGAGGGGAGAAATCTCAGGTGGGTTTCTCCAACAGTTTCCAGGGAGTTATTCTACGTGATGATAACAGAGAGCTTATAGGAGATTTTAGTGCAATCCACTTGATTCTTAAGGAAGTGCTGAACTTTTTGGAGATGTGTAAGAGTGGAGCACTGGAAAGCATTCAAGCAGAAGATCAGATGATAATTGTAAGTGGCCACACACCTGCAATTGTGTCAGCTGAGTGGAGGTATGCACTCACATATTATAACTCAATATAGTTCTAGATAAAAATGTTAGTCTTTCTGGTGTCTTTCTGGTAATTTAAAACAAAAGTAATATTCGAATGTGGAATTAGTCCTGTGTGAATGTGGCTTATTTGGCAGATGGGTGAAAAAGGAACTATTGAAGGAGTAATTGAAACAACTTTCAAAATGTGCCACAAATTGATGGCCTTTGTAAGAAATTAAGTAATTAGGCAAAGTGTGGTTCCAGAAAGCTTTTTGAATGAACAGGGAAGCCAATGCAGGGCTCCAGGGTGATCACAACAGATAATAAAATATGCCATTTAAAAAAAAGAAATCAGCCACCATCAGAATGATATCCAGATCTTTCAAACATGATAGCTCAGTTATAATGTCCAAGGAAATTGTATTCCAATGTCTACTAACAGTTTGGTAATTTGCAGAACAGATATTTGACATATTGACTGTGTTACAAGATGAGATATTAGCTAAATCAAGATTACCTTAAGTAATGGAGAATGGCATGAGTTATTTTAAATCCTCCAAAATACCCAATTGGTACACCACAGTTCTTATGGCCAGTTTTTCCAATCAGTGAGAGTTGGACCGCATATAAATTTAATAAATTATTATTGCATAACTCAGTCAGATATTTAGACTGGGGTTAGCATTTTTGACCACTTACTGAATCTTTCTAAGGACTCGGCATAGGCATATGTTGCTGTTTAATAATATTACAGGTACTATTGTCTCAGGTTGTAAACTGTTCCAGGTAAAGCTACCTTTTGCAATTGACTGATGGTGATTTTGTCAATGCTGATAAGTAGTGCTTTAGATGTTTTGGAACTATAAGCAAGGCACCTGTTATTACAGATAATATATTTGCTTTCTTTTGCCACAGTCTTTCTACTTCTATTTGTAGGTCTTTGTATTTTGTGTTTTTCTCCAATTCTTTTGCTTCTATTTTGCTATTTCCAGGTAATGTTATTGTTGTTGTTGTTGTTGTTATTATTATTATTACTATTATTATTATGAAAAGGTGTTTTCCTGAAAGTTATCTATTTAATTTTCGCTATAGAGATTTAATTCTTGTTGAACTATGTAGATTTAATTCTTATTAAGTATGGATTAAATCAGGGGCCTTCAAACTTGACAGCTTTAATACTTCTGGACTTCAACAAGAATTTCTTCTCTAGTCATGTTAGCTCAGGAATTCTGGAGTTGAAGTCCACAAGTCTTAAACTTGCCAAGTTTGAAGGCCCTTGTATTAAATCAATTAAAGATAAGATTTCCTTTCCAACAAGTTCAGGTCAGATGTCAGAGAAGAAAGATGATTTTTTTTCTGGATAAAGGAGAATCACAGGGTGAAAAAAAGATGATTAAGATGATAATGTATCAGCCTGCTTATTCTTCAAACTTGGTACATTAAAGATACAAAAGTTAAAACAGAAAAAAGTGTGAGCATTATACGTTGGCCAGTGGATTAATTGAATTTGTTACTATCAAATAATTTGGATTTTTTTTTAAGGTATTGAATTACTTACCTCTGTTTTTGCTGATGTTGACTTTGAAATTATATTTCAACCCTTCTAATTACTGAGAAAACTGAAATGCAGTTATACAATTATAAAATAAGCATTCAAGGGTTCTATACTTAGACTTATGATTACCTTCCTCCAACTACAGGTTTCTATTATTAATAATTTATACATAAATGTTTAATAAATATTTGGTTTTCATGTTAGATTAATGCTCAATTTGAATATTTTTGATTTCTTAAAACTGATTTACCCTTCATTCTTGATGTTAAATTTTGAAGAAAATTGAGACTTTTCATGATAATTAGCATTGTGCATCAAAACTCTATAAGCCTTTATTTATATCTTTGTAATCCGTTATTTCGTTGCCATGATGAAAAATAATGGACATAACGAATGCCATTTACTGTGTCTTTTTGGGTCCTGTATCTTAAACTGTGATTAAATTCAAGAGTAAGTCACTTTATCACTGCATCTACATGACAGGAAAATGTAATTTGACTTATTTCTGATAAACATAATCAGAACAATTGTCTGAATAATCAAACATTACATTGATGAGGGTTTTTCAGAAAATTCCATTGACTCATACTCAGGAAAAATACACAAAGTTGTAACTGTAGCATTGTTCTATAATGCTACAATGCTTGTCTTTTATTCTTGGTTTAATATGAAATTTGTTATAACTGTAAGCTCTGTGAATGGAATAGATCTCGCTTTCATAAGAGAATGTTCCTTTTAATTTTGATGATAGAACATTTAGAACCTGCTTTAAAACTTTTTATCTGCTTATTTCCTATCTTTTTTTATGTATATTGTACAGATTCCAGAATCAAAACTACATTCAGGCCTCAAAAATGAATCTCCAGAAGGGTACTATGAAGAAGCTGAACCTTACAGTGTTTCTATAAATGGTACATAATTGTATATTTCTAAAGTTTTATTATTGTTTTGTTCAGGTGCGAGCTAGAAAGAAAAAAGTTATTCTAAAAACAATCAGTTCAATTGCATGGGGGAAGAAATGCTCAAATATAAAATTGCAAATGTGAGATTTACATCTATGATTGTAATACTACTAAGTAAATTTTGAAAAAGAACATTAAATGACAGAATTGCCTAGACTACATTCAGCTCAATATGATATTGATACCGTTTGACTTAGATTTACTCCTTGGAATAATAAGTTTTACAGATATCTCTCTGGAGGCGCTAAGACTTTATGTATTCATGCTGCATCTTCCTCCTCTATTTGAAATTCATTGCCTCAGCTCTTCCGACAGGTCTTTGACCTTGGCCTGCCCATTGATTCTAATGATTGTACTGAGGTCTCCCAAGCTGAACTGCAACCCTTTGTAGCATCACATGTGAATCACGACAGTCAATATATTCTGTATCTTTTAGAGTGCATATTGAATGCTATCTATTTAGCCTGAGTCAGCACCATCTGATTTTATTTGTTCTGATCATAACTTAAAAAAAAGCTTGTTTTAATATTTTAGAAGGCTGATTCTAATTATCACTATATGTTTTAGATAAATTGTGCTTCCAATTGTTAAAATTATTTAATTCATTGATCAGTAAGAAGTTCAGATGTCTTTTTCTCCATCTTCATCCTTCATCATGCAAATTTTTATGTTAAGTTTTCAGCTACTGGGACAAGACCAGTGTTGCAGATTATTGAGAGAGTAGTATGTGCTATGTTAATTATGGGTTTGGCATATTCAGATTTAAAATCTGAATATTCGTGCCTTGGCTGTCATTTGTTTTGTGAGCATCTTTCACCAGACTCCCCTCAATCTTATTTCCATCCTTAAAACATATCTATGTTAGGAGCATTAATAAAGAAATAGCACCAGGTATCGATTTTTAAAAGCTATTCCTTAATCAGTCATGATCAGTTACAATCATTCAGTGCTTGTAGGCAGAACATTTTTGCTTCGTAAGAAGCAACTCTCTCTCAGCATTCAGAAGCTCAGTTTTGGGCTTTGTTGAACTGCAGCTGGGGAACAGCATGTTGCTCAGAAACTATAAGATCTTTCATATTCTGAATTCAAAAATACAAAAAAAAGATTTTAGATGAAGAAAGTTAAATGAAAAAAGTAAAAAATTTGTGTGCACAAGTCTCAGAAGAAGACAACGTGGTATGAAGACAATTAGATTGTCCAATTCATAGCATTCTTTACTGTGAATACAAGGATAAAATGGCCTTTTTTTAGGTCGTATATTTGATTTATGTCTGAAAAACAGAATCAGAACAATTCTCTGAATAATCAAATGTTACATTGATGAGGGTTTTTCAGAAAATTTCTCACTGTGAATACAAGGATAAAATGGCCTTGATTCATCTAGTTACGCCAATCTGTCAAGAATGCTCACCAGATAACAATGAGTCAAGTGCTTTTTAAAGTCCAACCTACTTTGAAGGATTGTTGTATGGGGGAATGCCAGAGGACCGAGTGCATATATGGTGCCTTAAACTTCTAAAAGAAAGGCAATATTTAAATCTAGTCAACAAATTCATAAGTATATTTCATGTCTATGGAAAACAAGATAGTACAGTTGCCCTTGAAAAATGCACCTTGGAGACAAGTATGTTTTATGTGAACAGTTCAACATTTCCCTGATACATAATACAAGCAACTGATGATGGTGATGTTATCCATTCAGTCAAGTATAACTACTGGTAATTCTATAGATCAGGTCTCTCCACATCTTTCAATCATACACTATTTCTTTGAGTTTTTCTATGCTTTGGCTGGTGTCAACTGTTATGGTATCCAGTACTGCATTCTTTGATGGCCTGGTTTCCTTTTACTGCTATATCTTCCAAACAAAATTGCTTCTGCTAGTAAATTCCCCTGTATGGCATGGTGAAAGTAAGTAAGACACAGTTTAGTGATTTTGCCTACTAGTGATATGACTAGTGTTATGCACTCCAGTACTTGTATGTTAGTCACCTTTGCTGTCCAAGGAATACGCAGCAGCACCACAGCTCAAACGAATTGATTTTCTTCCTGTCTTTCATTTTTAAGGTTCAATTCTCACACCCATAGGTAGCTCCAGAAAACACAATAGATTGAAGTAACCTACATTTGGTTGCCAGGCTGATGTTCTTGCTTTCCATATTTGGCTCATGTTCATTATTGCTGTGCAACCCAGGTCAATCTGACTTTTTATTTCTGTGCTATTTGCAGTCCTGGGGGGAGGGGAAATTCCACACATTCTAATTCTTCACCACCATTTTCTATTTTGATGTCCTCCTTCCTTGAAGTGGTCATGAGCTTGCTCTTTTTTGATATTCAGAAAGAGTCCAAAATTCTCACTTTCTTCTTTGACTTTCTTGATCAGATGTTTCAGGTCTTCTTTGGTTTCTGTGAGGAGAGTTGTACTGTCAGCATATCAAAAATAGTTGGTGGTTCTTCCACCAGTTTTTATCCCAATTTTGATTCTTCATACAACTAATAGATGTGTAGCAAGTCTAAATTAGTAGATTTATTCTCAGTGATTAATAAACATTGAATATTCTTTCCTTCTACATAATGAAATGCTACTATGGTACAGTAAAAAAAAAAAACTAGTGCTGACCTATAGAGAAAAAAAGTCATTTTCTAAATAAAATATTACATCTATTAGTACACAATATGGTTTAGTCACATTTCTTCATTTTATATCATTTTGCACATTTTCAACTGGGTGTATAGCAACATTTATCTAAAGAACATATCCAAACAGCTTACTATTCAGGGTGTGCCTATGAAGCTATTGCAAAATAGAAACCTTAACTGATCCCATTTAAATCCACAAATTGAATGAGAAAGTTTAGGTCTAATGGTTGAAAGGAAGGTGTATAGAATCCAGCCACCATTGAACATATGGTAAATTGCTTACTACAACAAAAATACTTTTTCTGGCATGATCTTGGGATATAATAAATTTACTTGCATTACTGCCTCCGTGTTCTTCTGCTCCAAAAAAAAACCCAATTGGCAATTCTAATGGCCAGGTCTGTCCACATTTTCCAATCTTGCATTATTTTTTTTATGTTTTTCTATGCTCTGGCTGGTATCAGCTTTGATGGTGTCCAGACACCATGTTCTTTGACGGCCTGATTTCCTTTCACTGCTAACACTTCTAAACATAACTGCTTTCTCCAGTGAATTCTCCCACATGGCATGGCCAAAGTAAGTGAGATGCAGTTTTGCCTTCTAATGACATGACTGTTGTGCGCTCTAGTACTTGTTTGTTAGTCATCTTTGCTGTAATATTTTTTCCACATGTGTGTAAGGCTCATGAAATAAATATTATCCCCTCCCCACCAAAATTAAATGCTGGATTCCACATGAAGAAATCAGTGATCAGAGCAAAATTCAGCGGGAGAAAAGAGTGACGTATAATAAGTTTAAACTGTTCATTGCACTATTTTCAGTGTTAACTAGTCCAAGCAAGTTTGTGAATGTACTTTTGGTATGGTATCTTCAGACTTTCCTTTTCCTTTATTTCCTATTTTTATAATATTCACAGATTTTTAAAAATAGGAAGTCATTATTTTAATCCAATATAAGTTACAACTACAGTTCTTTTGTTACTAGCTGTTCTGGCTTAGAGTGATGGATATTGAAATCCTAACACATTCGAAGAAGTATCAGTTGTAGTAGAACATAGAATTTATAAAAGTGATATATTATGTAACTTAAAAACTGAATAAAATACATGTGTAATATGCATATTATTAAAACATATCGCTGTGATATTTATTTCATACCACTATAGCTTGGTTGGGTTAATTAAACAGGACTGTTGAGTATACAGATACTCAAATTATTTGTATACTGGTTCTGTCAAAATGAATGCAAGGGTTGATGGGTGCATGATTGAAGGAAATGATTAGGGATAGTTCATAATGGAGAAAATCTACCTATTTTCTGGGGGTCAAAAACAACCTGATAACACACAAACAATTATTTCATATGAATGTGATTCATCCCATTCACTTTTCAAATTATATTAGAGTTTGATCTATGATTGCAGGGTACATAGAATAGAATAGAATAGAATAGAATAGAATAGAATAGAATAGAAT